AAGATGTCAATACTACTTAAAGCAATCTACAGATTCAGTGTAATCCCTAACAAAATCCCAATAGCGTTTTTTTTTTTTTAAAAATAGAAATATCAATCCTAAAATTCATATACAATCTACAGGGACTCTAAATAATCAAAACAATCTTGGAAACAAAAAAAAATCTGGAAGTCTCACTTCCTAATTTCAAAACTTACTACAAAGCTACAGCAATCAAAACAGCATGGAGGCCAGGGGTGGTGGCTCATGCCTGTAATCCCAGCACTTTGGAGGCCAAAGCAGGCAAATCGTTTTAAGTCAGGAGTTCAAAACCAGCCTGGCCGACATGGTGAAACCTCATCTCTACTAAAAATACAAAAAAAATTAGCCGGGTGTGGTGGTGGGCACCTGTAATCCCAGCTACACGGGAGGCTGTGGCAGAATTGTCTGAGCCCAGGAAGCGGAGATTACAAAGAGCAGAGGATCGCACCATTGCACTCCAGCCTGGGCAACAGAGTGAGACTCCATCTCAAAAAAACCAATATGGAAATGGCATAAAGGTTGTTACACGGAAAAATGCAATAGATTAAAGAGTTCAGAAATAAACTCTCACGTGTATGGTCAATGATTTCATGAGGGTACTAGCACCATTCAATAGGGAAACCACAGTCTTCAACAAACTGTTTGAAAGACTAGATAACCACATGCAAAATAATTAGACCCCCACTTTATACCATATACAAAAATTCATTCAAAATGGATTAAAGACCTAAATGTAAGAGCTAAAACTATAAATCTCTTAGAAAACAACATAGGAGAAAAGGTTGGATATAACACCAAAACATAGACAATAAAAGAGAAAAAAGATAAAAATTTAAAAGACACAATGAGTGAAAGACACAATCAATGGAGTGAAAAGGCAACTCATGGAATGGGATATTTGCAAGCCATATCTGACAAGTGTTAATATCCAGAACACATGAAGAATTCCTATTATCTCAACAAGAAAAACCCTGATTGAAAAATAGGCAAAGGACTAGGATATATATTTCTCTAAGAAAGATATAAAAATGGCTAATAAGCACATGAAAAGACACTTTAACAGCATAATCATTATCGAAATGCAAATCAAAATGACAATGAAATACCAACTCACAGCCACTAGGATGCCAACTATTTTTTAAAAAGTAAAGGAAAGAACAAGGATATGGAGAAATTGGAACCATGGTGCACTGTTGATAGAATATGAAATGGTGCAGCCACTATGGAAAACAGACAATATGGTGGCTTCTCAAAAAATAAAAATAGAATAACCATGTGATCCAGCAATTCCATTTCTGGGTACCCAAAAAAATGGACAGCAGGGACTCAAACAGATATTTGTACAGCCATGTTCACAGTAGCATTATGCATGACAGCCAAAAGGTAGTGTAACCCACGTATTCATCAATGGATGAGTAGATAAACAAAATGTGGTATATACATACAATGAAATATTATTCAGCCTTAAAAAGAAATTCTGACACATGCTACAACATGAACCTTGAAGAAGTCATGCTAAGTGAAATAAGCCAATTACAACAGGACAAGTACTCTATGATTCCACTTATAAAAGCAGAATTCATAGAGACAAAAATGAACTAGCCAGGGACTAAATGTAAGGGACATGGGGAGTTACTGTTTAATGGGTACAGTTTGGGTGTTACGAGATGAAGAGGGTTCTATAGATGATGATAGTGTTAGTTCCATAACAGTAAGAAAATATTTAAAGCTACTGAACTATACCATTAAAAATGTTTAAGATGGTAAATTTTATGTTATGTGTATGATACCATAATTTTAAAAAGAACCACAAAAAAAGTACAAGAATGTTTACAGAAGCTTTATTCATAATAGCCAAAAATTGGAAACAACCCAGACATAAATGGGCAAATGGCTAAACAGTGGTAGTACCTCCATACCATGAACACTCAGGAATGAAAAAAAAAAAAAAAACAAGCTATTGACAAACACAATGTGGATGTTATCTCCAGAGAGTTAGAGTCAGGAGCGGGAAAAAAAAAAAAAGCAAATACCAAAAGGTTACAGCCCGTATGATACCATTTATATTACATTCTTGAAATGACAAAATTATACCAACGTAAAATATATTAGTAGCTATCAGGGATTAAGGTGGGAAAGAAGATAACATCACCGATCACTAGAGAACTGCAAGTCAAAACCACAATGAGATACTATCTCACACCAGTCAGAATGGCTATTAATAAAAAGTCAAAAGATAACAGATACTGGTGAGGTTGTGGAGAAAAAGTACTTATACACTGCTGGTGGGAATGTAAATTAGTTCAGCCATTGTAGAAAGCAGTGTGGTAATTCATCAAAGAGCTAAAAACAGAACTACCATTTGACCTAGCAATCTCATTACTGAGTATATACCCAAAGGAATACAAGTTGTTCTGTCATAAAGACACATGCATGCATTTGTTCACTGCAGCACTATTCACAATAGCAAAGACATGGAATCAACCTAAATGCCCATCAATGATAGACTGGATAAAGAAAATATGGTACATATACACCATGGAATATTATGCAGTCATAAAAAAGAATGAGATCATGTCTTTAGCAGGAGCATAGATGGAGATGGAGGCCATTATCCTTAGCAGACTAACACAGGAACAGAAAACCAAATACCACATGCTCTAGCTTATAAGTGGGAGCCAAATGATGGAAACACATGGACACATAGAGGGGAACAAAAGACAGTGGAGCCTAACTGAGGATGAAGGGTAGGACAGGGGAAGAGGATCAGGAAAAATAACTAAAGAGTACTTGGCTTAATACCTGGGTGACTAAATAGTCTGTACAACAAACCCCTGTGACGTGAGTTTACCTATATAACAAACCTGTACATGTGCCCCTAAAATTAAAAGTGTTTAAAAAATAAGTATTAGGAAAATAAAATACAGAAAATGTGAAGCAAGAAATTATCCCAAAATTTTATTTTAATTTCTCCAAATTTGAAGCATATAAATGTCCAGACTGAATGTGCAAAATGAGCACTCAACATAAAGAATAAAAAAAAAAAATGCCCCAAGATGCTTCATTGTGATCATCAAAACATGGGAATTAAGAGCTTCCTTCCAAAGAGAAAAAATACACTAAAACATTTGTGAGTCTTGCATAATAGCAAGACTGGAAACAAGATAATAAGATAACAATTTCCTCAAAAACCTAAGGGAAACTGACTTTCAGTCTCGTATGTACTGAATAAGGAATAAAAAAGGAAGAAAAACACATGAGATCCAGGAAACAGAGAACCTGATACTGGAGAGAAGCGAAGGAGATCACAAGGTGAAGCAAGGCACAGTTCAGGATGGCAGCCATGCAGCAGACCTAGTAAGATTCTAGACTGGAAGGTGCCAGGTGGCCTGTCTCCAAGGGAAAAAAAAGGGAACTGACAGATGACCTAACTTGTTTGCCTGATATAAGAACTGTAAAATAAGTTCCATTGGAAAGACTGTAAGACATAATGAGTGACAGCAATCATGGGAATTTAAAACTCTCATAATCCAGCCCTACTGCTACACACACATTTCTCTTCCCTCTAGCCTACCTATATTACAACTTTTAGCACTACATGAATATTCATTCCGAATATAATTTTTTTTTTTAGAGACAAGGTCTCGCTCTGTCACACAAACTGGAATACAGTGGTGCAATCATAGCCCACCACAGCCTCAAACTCCTAAGCTCAAAGGATTCTCCTGCCCCAACCTCCCAAGTAGCTGAGAGTACAGGAGTGCATGACCACACCTGGCTAATTATACCCTATTTAACTAACTTGGTTTCCTTGGAGTTAATCCTCATTTTTTCATTTGATTATTTAAATTATATTCAAGATTTCAGTGATAAAAATAAAATTTTTATTTAAAAAATAATTAGTGTATGTTTTTAATATTTCTTTCTCATTTTATGAAAATATTTTTAAAATAGACATATAATATACACAAACATACATACTTATAACTTCATTTTTTCACTTTTTTCAGTCATTAGATTTAATCATTATCAGAGATTAGTCTTCACAATAATTTCTAGTTACTTCATAACATTTCATTTTAAGAATATATGATCATTTATTTACTCATATTCCTCTGTGTTGGGTACAAGATTTTTTCAAAATTTTGTATATTCTTAATAATGCTCACTTGAGCACCCTTCTATATAAATCTCTGTCTATCTCCAATGACAGGTTCCTAGAAGCAGAACACTTAGTTGTACTACTTAGTTGTCCTCTAAAATCTCCGCCAATTTACATTTATACCTACAATGTATTATGATTATTTAACCAAACAATTACCAGGAATAATATGTTTTAAATCTTTCAAAAGTAAAAGTTGAAAGGGAACAAATTCAACACGTACTCATTTTAATTTGAATTTGCCTGTTAGGTTATATTACGTACTTAGGACTTTTGATCATTTTTATATTGGGCAATTACTTGTATTTGTGCTGTTTTTAATTTGGTAAATTTGGCAAATTTCTTCATAGATTAAGGATATTTATCCCTTTATTATATTTGTGATAACTGTTTTTCAGTTTAACTCTTATGTAGTCACACCTTTGTTTTTCCTTCCCTTGCACTTGTATCTAAAAAGTCCTTCCCTCAGTTCAAGGACTGTTAAGTACTGACCTATATTTTCTTCCCTTTCTCTCTCTCCATCTCTCTCTCTCTCATTGAAGGGTGGTATTATGGTTTTATTAGTTATTTTAAGTAATCTCTAAAAGGGATCTTTTAGCAATACTTTTATAAAGCATAAGGAAGCAGTGAGATGACCTCGGGAATATAAAGGTGGCTTAAAATGAAATAACTTTCTACATATCTTTTAACTACAAATCTTTCAACATGTAAGTTTTCTTCCATAAATATCTATGCTACGTGGGTCACAACAGAAGCAATATTATACTTTCAGGTATATATGCTCATATAGCTTAATTTTTTTTAAGTTTTTACTCACTTGTGGTCATGATGTTAGGAGGGCAAGAGGGTATTCCATGATCTACTGCCCATCTGTAGGCTCCTTCTCCAACTAAAAAGCTAACAACAGAAAAATTATTTTTAAAATTCAGTGTCATCTTCTCCTACATATTCAATAAATATAGGTAATATGGTAAGGCAATTGAGAAAAAGTCTTGCATATGGACATAATTCCTGATTTACCTCAAAGTAATAAGATGACTGCATGCTAAAAAATTCCTGAAAATTTTTCCCCAAATTAGAAATTTTACAATTGGAATGTTACAATACCATTTGCAATAACTGATTAGTAAAAATTGGCAAAACTCAACATAATAAGATGTAAAAATAGTTGACTTCTCAGTAGAAAATATTAAGATTTATCTTGGACCAACAGGGTTCTCAGTTAATGTTACAAGATTGATTAATCAAATTAACAGTTTACAATTAAGTGAATGCCTTCAGATTTGGCATTATTACCTAGTAGAATACCTGGATCCATCCAAAATTAGTGGGTACATCTAGAGATGCTCAAATATGTATGGTTACATTTCTAAGCCTTGATGCAATAAAAACATATACATAACCCTCAGAATCATTTTTACTGTGGTAAGTAAAGTACTATGGTATGTCCCAAAAGTAACTTTTAAGTCCTAAACAGCAAGTTTTAACATAACAAAGTGGATAAAAGGATACTGATAGCTAAATATAAAAGACTTGTTTTCAAATATTTCAAATAGCATGTAGGATAAGTAACTACCCCATTCCCTAAGTAATTTGATTAAGCAAATAGTAATAGCAAGCAGTTACCATAATAATTAATCACTCCATCTTCTTCCATAGCCAACTACTTAAAGATCTCAGCCAGCCAGTAATGGATTCCTTGAACTTGTGCCTACTTGCTAGTTTTCCACTCCCTATTTTTTGTTTCTGTTATTTTAATCATTCCAACACTAAAAACTCGAAGTAATACATATTGAAGTCTTAAGATTTGACTGTTAATAAGACCAGTGACAGACTGGCAAAACAAAATCTAAGTAGACCCTCAAAAACATATCCAAATGGCTCCAATGGGAAACTAAATGGTTAACCACAATAACTGCTTTCTAATATACATAAAGATGGGGATGGAGGGACTATTTTAAATAGAAAGGAGAGAAGGCCAATAACAATAAACAACTTTACCTCTTCAAAATTCAATTTTTAAAAAAAAATTCGAAAGGATTCTAACAATAGAAAACAGTTTTTCCTATTCTTGTAAGAAATGAAATCCACTGCAAAGAAAAGCTGTCACATAAAGTTTAAATGTTAAGATAACTTAAATAGGAGCTTGGATGCAAATTTGAACGGTCCTGATGGCATTTTTAGCATTTCCTTCTTCTAGGAAAAACAAAAACTGATAAAAGAAATAATTCTCTTCATGAGAAGATGTAAAAGAGAAGCTGAAGTAGTAAACTAAATGATCAAGACAAAAGTTTGGAGTTGAATCTAATATTCTCAGCACTCCCATTGGTCATTTTGGGTTCAATTCCAGTATCTGGAATCAGTGAGGGGCATTTTACTAAATATTCTTAGCTTTATTTTACATATTTTTTAATCATTCAAAGGTTTGAGTCTAAGTAAAATCAATTTGCTATTGTCAGCTATTTAAGTTTTTAAATACTTTGGGCATTGTGAAATATTCATAGGGAGGCAAATAGTTGGATGTCATCTTATGGATAAGCATACTAAATATCTACCCTTTTTCTTAACATAAAAAATTACTGTATAGTAGATCATCATTGCACAAAATATCATATAACTGCTTTTGAAATCATTTTAGCAGAAGCTTTTACTAAAAACTGTACTGACATGTCAAAAAAAAAAAAAAAAATCACATTCCCAAACATTAAATGCAGTACCAATTCAAACTTCTCTCAAGCATTCTTCTGATTCTCCAAGGAGGAAACTTTTAGAAAAGGTTCACGCCAATCTACTTCGAAGTCCCATTGACTCTATCATTATAACAGATCTGGAATCTGACCACTTCTCACCACCTCCATTGCTACCACCTTGGTCTGAGCCACCATCATCTGATACCCACAATGCTGCAGTGGCCTCACTATTTTTATGCTTGCCTTGCCCTGTACTCCCTGACCCCAGACAATTCTCAATACACCAGCCACTAAAATCCTTGTAAAATACAATTCAGGTAATGGCACTCCTCTTTCAAAATCCTGTAAAACCTCTTGTGAGGACCAGTGCAAAAACTAGAGTCTTTTAAAAAATCTATAAGCTCCCATAGAATCTGATTCTCCCCACTCCCCAATTCACCTCTTATTCCTCTTGCCCCCTTGTGTACTCTACTCAATGTCTTGTAAAGCCACAAACATATCAAGGAGGCTCCTGCCTCAGGGTCTTCACCCTGACTGTTTCCTCTGTCTGGCTGTTCCCCTAATTTCCCAAATGGGAAACTCCTTCACATGCTCAAACATCCCTCCTTGATAAGGCCTCCTTAAAAATGCATCCCAATACCCTGCACTTCTCTACCCAGTACTCACAATCCCCTTATCCTGCTCCTTTTCCCTTTTTCCACCTTCTAACGTATTATATAATTGATAAATTTACACATTGTTATCTGTTAGTTTATCTTTGCATAAATTCCTTAAAAGCTTCAAGCTTCATAAGGGTAGAGATCTTCATTTTTTCATCAACATATCTCAAGCATTTAGAACAGTGCCTGAAGCATTCTAAACATTATGTCATGTTCTAACATATACAACTGTATTCCCACAAAATTCATAGTTTGAAACCTCACCCCCAAGTATTGGGATGGCATTAGGAGGTGGGGCCTTTTGGGATGTGATTAGGTCATGAGGGTGAAGCCCTCTTGAATGGGATTAGCCCTCTTGATTGCCCCAACTCTGAATTCCCCAACTCCTTGATCTTGAACTTTCCGGCCTTCAGAACTGTGAGAAACTTTTATTGTTTATAAGCTACCTAGTTTATGGTATTAAGGTGTTTTGTTATAGCAGAAACTCTCTAGAGTTCACTGTCTAAATGTAATATAGTCCAAAAAAATTTTCTCTGAATACCCTAAATCAACATAACCAAATTTATAATGTTTTTACTTCAAGCTTATTTACATGTGATCCAAATATTTCTAGTCATCTCATTTCTATTATAATTTAGATGATTAACTTCCAGGTACATGAGAGATTTTTCACTTCGGGACAAGATGGAGAAAAAAATAAAGACAAAATACAGAAAGTAGCAGTTTTCAGACATTGAGACATTAGGCAACATAGGACAGTGATCCTTGAGAGAGAGGAAACAAGGTAAACCTTGTGATTGTCTTACTGCAATCATAGGGTTCACCTTCATTATTGCCTAGAGAGTTTCTAAACCACAGCACAGGAGCTCCAGCAGTATCTCTGAGTTGAAGTGACATCCAGAAAGGGCATCCAGAGAAGCCACATAGCCACAGTTCATAAGACCGAGTACCAGAGAGGAGAGAACTGCATATAGAAAGTACTCTAGAGATCTGCAGAGTATCCCTCTAGTCTTCAGCTAAGTAGAGATCAGTGTATGTGTAAGAAGACATTACCCAAAGTCTTGGAACAAATGAAATGAAAGTTTAAAAAAAAAAAAAAAAACCAAGTCTCCAAGTTCAGACAGCCAGGAACAACAGCTCCTGCTCCCACCAGCCAAAGTAAAGGCCTCATTCTAGGTGCATCTGTTATAACACTTTGAAAGATTCCGCCTCAATAGCAAGGCAAAATTAGCTCAAGGCCAAATGCTTCTCATTTCATGTAACAAAGTTTAAAGCGAAACCTGAAAGGCTCAAGCTGTTTTTAAGTAACTTAGCCACATCCTAGAATAAAATGTAAGAATAGTTTTTAAAATACAAAAATACACAGCACCCAAAAAGGTAAAACTCACAATGTCTGAAACCCAATAAAAATTACCAAGCACGCAAAACAGGAGGAAAAGGTAACCTATAATGAGGTGAAAAATCATTCAACTGAAAACAATCCATAAATAACAAAGAGGACAGAATTAGCAAACAAAGATATTTAAATAATTGTTATAACACTATTCATATGTTCACAAAGCTAGAGGAAAGTTTAGGCATGTAAAGTAGATACATGGAAGACATTTTTCTAAAGATGCAAATCAAACTTGTAGAGATAAAAATAACAACGTCAGAAATAAAACACAAGCTGAATGGGATTAGCAGGCAGCAAGATATTACGTGATTAGACAGAAAAATAATTAGTAAACTTGAAGACAGCAATGAAAACTATTCAAAATGAAACAGAGAAAAAACAATGAAAAAAGTAAACAAATCGTCAGTGATCTGTAAACTACCACAAGGGGCTGAATTTATGTGCAATCAGAATTGTGAATAGAATAGAAGAGACAGGGATTCAGAAAAAAATATCTGAAGAGATAATGAGCAATTTTTTCCCAAAGCTGATGAAATATATATCCCCACACAACCAAAAAGCAAAATGAACCCAAACCAAAGTTATTACAAGAAAACTATAAACCAGTATCACTCATTAACATAGATGTAAAAATTCTTTACCAAATATTAGCAAACTGAAGCCAACAATATATAAAAAGGATAATACATTATGACCAAGTGGAATTTATCCCAGGAATGCTGCTTTATCAGTCAAAAATCAACAAATCACTAAATTAGCTAACTAAATTTTTTAAATTATAGGATCATCTCAATAGATGCAGAAAAGCATTTGACAAAGTACAACACCTATTCCTACTAAAGTTCTCAGCACACTAGGTGACATGGTTTTGCTGTGTCCCCACCCAAATCTCATCTTGAATTGTAGCTCCCATAATACCCATGTGTCGTGGGAGGGACCCAGTGGGATGTAACTGAATCATGGGAGCAGGTTTTTCCCATGCTGTTCTTGTGATAGTGAGTAAGTCTCATGAGATTTGACGGTTTTATAAAGGGCAGTTCCTCTGCACACGCTCTCTTGCCTGCCACCATGTAATGTAAGATGTGCCTTTGCTCCTCTTCGCCTTTTGCCATGATTGTGAGGCTTCCCCAGCCAAGTCGAACTGTGAGTTCA